AAACGAGAGAATTATGGTTCAGCTCTAAAAAGAAAGTGTCCCATGTGCTGTGCAGGACTTGAGGCCAGCCTTGTCCATCTTCTCAGCTTTCAGCTTCTTCAGTGCTTCAGTAATTAGAATTATCAGGACTAAAACACTGTGGACATTCTTGCTGCTTAGCGTGAAGCTAACAAGGGAGCGCCAGATTTACAACACTCTGGCCAGACAGAGAATTAAAAAAAAATTACAAATCATTGCCCAGTTCCAGGGATATGTACTCCAGGATCTTATTTTGCCAGGGACTCCACGTGAACTTTAGCCTCAACAAGAAATCTGCCTCCAATTTTCTCATTTAAATACCAGTCAGACCAGTGGCGGGATGTAAACTAACATGCATGAAAAATAAGGGTTCAATGACCCAAATCAATTATGTTTTAAGGGCACTGCTCTGGACTCAGTAGGAAATATTTTAAACAGGAAAAAGAACTAAATAGGATCATTCATTGAACTGACCTGGAAATGAGGCAGAAATTTGGTAAATAAGAAGCTCAATGCAAGCCAGCTTTATGAACCAAATGCAGTGGATTAAAAAAATAAAAACAAAAATCAAACCAAAACCAGAAAAAAAACCCAACCCCAGATACTTCCTAGATTCAAATAATGTTTCAGACTCCTGGGTGCTAAAGTGAGAAGTGCAATAAAACAAAGCAATTCTCATGCCTTCCTTGAGCACTGTAACACAGTTTAATTCCAGACATTACAAAAAACACCCAAACCAACAGTTTATAGAAACCCTGAAACTGCATCTTTATTAAAATAGGACAACCTGTAGCTCTTCTGTAGAAACCAAAAATAATAATAATTTAAAGCAAAAACAAATTCTGAAGATCAGAAACAGATACTGTGACTGGATTTTTAAAGCTCATAAACAGAAGCTAGGGAGAAACAGCTCTGCTTCAGAATATACTAATATAGCTGCTCCCCAAATTGCCCAGACATCCAAACTGTCCTCACAGTAAACATCTGATCTGCCAAGATGCACTGTAAACACAACAGGATGCAGCTATGGCAATTAATCAAGATACAAAGAAAATAGGAAAGACTTATCATTTCTCTGCTCCTCAAGCCCAAAGTACTTTCACAAACAGATTAATAGCTATTAAGCTCATTGCAACAAAACTGTCAGGTTCTTTGAAGGTGTCTTGTTTGACTTGACTGGCTTAATTTCTCGAGACAGAAATACAGCCTGGTGTGCTTTACAGTGACTAATAAAGCAAAAGCTACCTGGACCTAAAAATCCCATGGAAGTGTTACTAAAATAACCCCCGCACCTGGCAGCAGCTGGGATTGGAACCAGATGTGCAGCACATCTGGTGAGGAATGGGACTGCTGCTAACAAACACCGAGCCACTGGAGGAACACACTTTTCCAATCCAGCAATTTTCTGCAAAGTCTTGGTAGAAGTAAGGCATTTTGCCTCCTCTTTTCTTAAGGCAGAGGCTGACCACTAGCAGACCTACTGTGTGCCAATTTAAAACATTTGAGAACTTCCCTGTCCTCCCGCCCCAATCAGAAGTGCATATTTTGCTGCTCCAGTTGCATAATTTACTGATTCAGCTGCATGCTTGGTTGGTCTGGTAGGAGACTAGTACAGCAGTTGAGATTCTGGATACATTGCCAACTGTGCAGTGTGCTTTGTTGATCAGGGTCGTAGAATTTAATAGCTGAAATTTCATACACTTTACTAATCAGGCCACATTCTTTGCTAATTGAGGTGCATATTTTAGTAGTTGATTTTTTTTTAATCTTTCACTGATCTTGGGAAGGATCCTGCTTCCTCTGAAACCAGCAGGAATTTTGCCATAGCTCTTGCTGGGAACAGGGCTAGGACTCTCACTAGAGGGTCTTGGATTGCTAAGATTTCTTCTCTTAAAAGGAACAAGAAAGGCTTGTTTTTTTCTTCAAGCCAGCAAGTGAACAGAAGAATACCAGATGAAGGATGGCACTGGCATAGCGACCTCCTCCACAGGGATTTGATTAAACAGATAATATTTTATGGACATACAGAGACATAATTTTGACTGTGTTACTCTTTCATCAGGCTTACATTCTTCCTTCAGGATAAACAAGCCACTTATCTGCACATCTTGTTCCATCATCTGATACAGACACGCGGGAGGAAGCATCATTCACCTTATCCTCAAATTTTCTTTCATTTGATCTAACTCCTATTTTTAAATTGCTGTAGTGCCAGGTGAAGGATTCCAGACAGAGCTCTAGTTTGCCACAAAACATGTTTCAAACATCCACGCTACCTCACAGCATCCCAGAGTTTCTCAGCTCCGACTGGCAGAGACCACCTCCCTGGATGAAAAGATCAGTTCAGTTCCCTGTACCTCATGCAGACTTTGCCCTTGCCAAGGGAGTTTCTGTTATGTTTTCATATTGTTAACTCTAAGCCAGGAGACAAATAATTTCTCATAAATCTCTGAATACCTTTGTTCAGCTGCTGAATTGAACTACATTTGAGCAAGTAACTTAGAGTGGGATGTGTATTTTTTTACTAGCATAGCAACACTATCAGTGTAGCCAAAAGAGATAAAAATAGTGAAGCCTACGCAGCATAGTGCAGTCCTTGATGAGTGAAAAGCAAGTGCAACTTACTCCAAAAAATAACAAAAACAGGGAGCAAGAGATGTACACACACGTCTGTTTGGACAGAATTCCCTGCCACATTTAGGAAGAAAAGCAACAGAAAATGCTTGTTTCATTCTGCCAAAGAAATTGTCCAGTGTGTTAAGAGCCTATAAACAACATGTGATCAAAAGAATAATTGACACAGTAAGAAGTCAAGTCAGGAAGCCAGGCAGGAGGCTGCTGCTTCTTCATTAAGGAGCCAGTTTCTTTTCTGTAGTGCTGTTGGTCAATACTTTAGTTCAGATACTGCCTGGTGGGAAATCAAACACTCTTGATTTCAGAGTTAGAGAAAAGCAGAAGTTGACTAGAAAACACAGAAAAAAAAGACAAATCAAGCTTGCTGATGCATTCAGTGTCCCACCATTGCCTCTCATGCCCAAAGGCACAGCACACAGCCAGTACTTGCTCCTCATGACTGTACAAGCAAAGTTAGAACAGAAACAGCACAGGAAGGATGCAATAATTCAGGGAAGCAAGGAAGTTATGTAGTTTAATAAGAGAGGTATGCAGCTGGGTGAGGGTAAGCTTGCAGGTTCTGCGTTTGAATTCTGACTTAAAAGAGAAACCAAAGACAAAACCCCAGAACCATACAATTCAATAGATCTTGGTAAAGTTAATACTTAGTATTTCAGTGCCAGAAATGTGGCTTAATTAAGTTCTCATCATAGCTGTCTTCACCAGGATACCAGAGTGAGATAAAACATCTTCATTTCAACCACAGCCATTGCTGTGTGTATGTGCTGTGGCAGGGATTTGGTTTATCAGGCAGAGTTATAATGTTGTTTCTCACCAGGGAAAGCAACCCCAAACCTTTATATATATGCATATGTATATGCATATATATATATATGTAACAAAAGACATAAATGTATGGAGTATAATTTTCTTATACTGTAGTGGCTCATGTTTTATAGATCTGATAATCTCTACCAGAAGTGTCAAACCTTGGTCCTATCAGGGTCCATAGGATCAGTCCCCTTCACTTCAGCAGGACCAGGAACGCTCAGCCTTCCTAAAGCTCAGAGTGACTGTCTGCTCTGTAGCTGCCCCTAGTTTTGGGGTGCTCTGTGCTTCCTCGTCTGCCTTTCCGTCGCTGCTCACCCAGTGGCTCCCAGCTCTGCCAGGATCCCTGCCCTGGGAGCTGTACCTGTCACTGGCACTGTTTGCCTGCTCCCCGGTGCTCAAGAGCGGAGGGCGTGGGACTCTAATACAGCACGAGGTGGTTTGTTTGGACTCCTCATGCCAGGCACTGCCGTGGTCGGGGTGCCTTGGGGAATGCTCTCATTTCGGCTGTAGGCGCTGGTCTATCGGTTTCCACGGGGCTTGCACCGGATTTCGGGTCCGGCTGTATCGATGCGGGGAGGGTGACCCGGAGTCACACTCCCGGAGCATCCTGTCTCCCGGTGCCTTTCGGACTCCGAGGCGAGTCACCGGCCAGCCCGACACCCCAAACCCCGCCGCCGAGGGGCAGGGGCCGAGAGGGACCCGCAGCCGCCCCGGCCCGGCCGCCCCGCTGCATCCCCGCTCCCGGCGGCCGCGGCGCATCCTTCGTCCCGGGAGCACCCCCGCACCCGGGACTCCCGGCAGCTCCGCTGCACCCCTCTCCCCTGGGGACTCGCAGTGCCTTCCCTCCTCCCGGGGAGGCTCCCGGGGCAGCCCTGCCCTGCCCGGTGCCGGCGGTGCCGCGGGGTTACCTTGGCTCCCGCCCCGCCGAGGCAGAGCGCGGCGGCCGCCGCCAGGACGAGCCCCGCGCCGGGGCCGCTCCGTTGCATGGCGAGCCGGGCGAGCCGTGCCGTGCCGTGCCCGAGCCGTGCCAAGCCGAGCCGAGCCGAGCCGAGCCGAGCCGAGCCGCGCTGCCGCCGCGCCGAGCGAGCGGAGCTGCCGCGCCGAGCCGTGCCCCGAGCGGGCGCCGCTGACAACGACCCCCCGAGCGCGGCCTCCCCGCCCCTCGCCCCCTCCCCCGGCCCCTGCCCTCCCCCGGGGGGTCACCTGCGGCGCGGAGCTCCGGAGGGGAGCGGGGGGTGCCCGGTCCGAGCCCCCCCGTGGGGATGCCCCGGGGTGCATCCTCTCCGGGCTCGGGAAGCGCCGGGCTGGAGGCAGCCCAGCCCCTCCGAGCAGCCGTCGGGAGCGGGCTCTGCGGGGGAAGCGTCTCCTGCGGTCGGTGGGAGATGGAGGGGCCGGTGTGTTGGCACCGGCGGGGCAGCTGCCCTGGACAGCGCACCCGGCCGCTGCTCCGGTCACCTGCCAGACCCTGCAGCACGGTCAGGGGAGTGAACTGTCAGAGGAATGCGAAATAGGAAAGCGGCTCGGGTCTTTCCAAGGAGGAAAAATCACCCCAGCTACATCTGAGCACGAAGCAAAGGACAGAAAAGGAGCATTCCCGGGCATCCTCGGGACCCCAAAGAGCAAGAGCTGCACAAAAACTAGCAGTCAGGGTACAGCAGTCACTTAACCTCTCTGGATAACATGGGAAGGCAAGGAACACTCCTCATTTCTGAGGCAGCTTTCTGGTTTTCCAGGTGAGACACACTCTCCTGTACCCCATCCACTCACACCACATCCTGCCTGAGTGCCAGGCAACAACGTAATCAATGGGAAACAGTGGTTAGTACCTTCAGGTGGTGTCCAGGTGGGTGCATATAGTAAGCATGAACTTGGAGAACTAGTGTCAAAGAAAACAATTTTCTTTTTCAGAAGTGCATGGATGTACTTTGTATTTGACGTTCCATACTGTCATTTCATTGTGTAAATCAGAAGTAACATCTTGATTTTACACTTTGTAATGAAGGTGGGCACAGGCACCGAGGCAGCAGTATTGTGTTGAAGGCACCCTGGCACTGAGCTCATGTGTAATCCAGGGCCATTCACCTACGCCATGGGTTTGATGTCCTGTCTATAGAAAGTCATGGTTGACTCCCAGAGAGGCGAAGTTGATCTCCACCTAATCCTTGCAGTGCTCCTGAGATGAAGGTGCCTGTTTTCCTTTATTGGACACCTACAAAACGTAACAACAGGATTAGCCTAAGGCTGAGGGAGACTGAAGGGCCGGGACTCCGACTGCTCACTGCCCACTGGGACCACGCTGGCTCCCTGGGAAATCTGCATCTGCTAATGCAGAAATAGCCCTTGCATGGAAGGGCACAGAAGGAATGTCTCAATAGCTTAATTGGGTTGTTTATACTTCTTGCACTGAAAGCGGAAGATGCAAATAATTCTTTGTGTGGTCACTCCTTATTTCACCCTTCTTTTTTCAGGGCTAATTCTGTGTAAATGGTGTTCCTGGGCTCTGACCTTGTCAGTTATTTACTGTGACTGCTCATGTTCAAATTTACATTTCACTCCTCCTGGGTAATATTTCTTTGAGTTAGCTGTCAACAGAAAAAGCATATATCATAGAATATATAACTACATTATATCCGTTCTGAATAAACACAAAACCCAAGACACTTGGCATCTTTGGCAGGAGGGTTTTTCTAAGCAGAACACTTCTGCCTGAAGGGCAGTCTGGTCTCTGTAGCACAGCACTGTGGCACATTGCTTTTCTTAACACTCACAGTTAAATCTCAGGGCGATGTCACCATAAATGTATGGTAAGCTTTGAAAAATCCCTGAAACAAGAAATCTACTTTTTTCTACATGAGGCTCAGTGTGACAGAAGTAAACGATCAGATTCCATCTGCTGTTTCCTTATGTTGATGCACAGTTGTTGAGGACATAAGTCAAGGACTAGCTGGCAGAAAAGGGTATTCAAAAAGTGGTTTTTTATCTTTGCTTGGACAGCACTGGAATAATAATATAAGAAAATCTGAATGAGAGAGAACCAGTCCAAGTCTAGCAATGCAGCTCTCTTTTTAAGGATCTTACACCCCTGTCATTTGGATTCCTTTCCAGGGGTCATCTGAGTGCAGGCACCTGTAATCCTTTGGAGGCGAAGAGGCTGCTGTGTGGGCTCTGCTGCCATTCCAAGCTGTAGACCTTGAGCATGAGGTACAGATGCAAATGTATGCCGACTTCTCATGTTGGTGTTTGCTCTGTTCTTGGCCCAGCAAATTCTGTCAGTATGTCTTTGATCCCTTATCCCAGCATCCCTTTGCTGGCAGGACCTGTCCACACCACACTTCATCACTATGGATTAGCAATGACTTCGCATCTAGAATTAAGGATCAGACATACAGTAGTCTGCTCAGAAGTATTTTCAGCTCAGGTTGGCGACACCTTCAAACCATATTTTTAGCAAGGATTATGTTTTATGTATATGATCTCGCTCTGTGAGCAGGCAGCAGGACCCTGTATGGGCTAGAACAACTTCCCACACCAGGCAGCGTGGAATTCTAGGGCCAGTGTTACCTACTATACTATGCCATTTTGAGGGCTCTTGAAATGCTGAAGCAAGCACCAAATATCAGTGAAATAGTGACATTTATGAAGTTAGTGGATAGGACTTGTGTGTATAATGGCAGCACTTTCTTAACCAGTAGCCCCAGGCTGGGAGAGGAATTCCAGGAAAAAAAAAAAGATTCAGAAACCTACTGCTTCCAGACTGGCAGTAAAAATCATTTATTGTGGGAAAGCTAAGCCTGAAACCACTAAAACCCAGTCATTTCCATCAACTCTCTCTCTACCACACACACACACATACACAGATACATGGGAAGATACAAACACACACAGATAGATGGGAAGAGAACTTTCTGAATTAATTTCCCTGAATATGTAAGGCATCCTGATACCAAAAGTAACCCTCCTTGCCCATGGAGACTCTTGTGGAATGTCCCACAGAAATGAATGCAGCTCTTAGCAGTTTCTGTTTTTCAAAACAGCTGGTGTGACCAAACTGAATCCAGATTTAAACAGGAGGAGGGCATTGGCAAGATACTTTCAGTTACAAGGCCTTAAATCTTAGTTTATTCTCTGTACGCAAGAGCTCTCATCTGCAGACCTTATGGTTACACAATGTGGCTTTTTATGCTTTTCCAGCCTTCTCTTATGTAGAGTAGAGGCTGCTTAAATCCATTCTGAGCTATGTTGTTATATCAGATACACCACAGTTGCATCTGTCTCCTCTGTTTATAGAAATGAGTCAGGAAAGTAACACTTTAAATACTTATCCATGCTAGAACAGACATGCTAAAAATTGCTTAGGTAGAATGCTGTAAAAATGTTTCACACATATAAATAAAATTTATAGGCAAATAAAATATTAAGGCAGTCTTTAACAAAGCCCATTTCTGAAGACCTGAATTCTAGTTCCATAATCTGTATTTAATACAAAATTTTTTTCCTCAGTGGCTGTGAGAGGCGAGCTGGATGCCTGAGCCTGATTTCAGTCTGCCAGTAATAGAGCTATTTATATGTAGTTAGCATGGGTTTCTTTTTTAATGAAGGTTTTGCAGACTGAGTGACACCAAATAATAGAAATATGCAAGCAGAAAAACATGCAATAAGCACAGGCAATTGGAACATGGTGCTGTCAGTGGTTAGAGAACAAGAACATCCCTACGGAAATATTTAGAAAAATGCCTTTGTAGCTATAAAAGCTGTAACTGGAAAGCACCACGCACAGGCTTTGTGCTGTGCAGAGAGTGCCACCCTCTGCTCCTGCAGAGAATGGAGCCTTTCCCTCTTACCTGACTCTTCCTCTTTCACTAGTGCAATTCTCACACAGGCAGTGAGTTACAAAATTACCCACCCGGATAGGCAACTCTGCAAATGGTCTGTCATTCCCTGGTAATTTTGTTAGGTCAGCTCTTTAATTTGGCATTATATGCCTTCTCTTTTTTTCGCTCAGAGCCAAGATGAATAAATTTCCCTTCCCCTTTTAGGGGCAAGGCCCTGTGGGTTCCTGAAAAAGACAGTTCCTATTAAGGTCTGAGCGAGCTCGCTTGGAGAGAAGGCAGCACGAGGGCTCCTGTATGCAGTCTAGTTGCAGGGTGAGAGAATGCTGCAGCTGGCTGTGGTTAAAGGACTTGTGGTACCTTCTGATCTTTCTATTTGAAGAACAAAAGAGAGCTCTGCAAGAAGAACTCAGACTTTGGGATAAGCCATGGGCTCTTTCTCTGCTGGAGACAGAGACTGCAGTTTACACAAACAAGTCTCCTGCAAATTTACAGCAATCCCTTCACTTTAAGGCCTAATTTGTAATGCTGTTTGACATATTTTTATGGCTTTTTAAAAAACTACCACGACATTCCTCTGTTGTGCTAAAACTTACATTGCTGATGATAGATCTCTTGCAGTATGAAGGATTCTCTCTCTCAGGCAGCCTGTTTAAGCCTGCTACAGCTTTGTGCCAAGCTTGGGCGAGTCTCCAAACAAGGGGTTATTCCTGTAGCTGGGGCCTTGATGCCATGTAGCAGACTAATAAACTAAAAAGAGATACTTTGGAGCTTTACCCAAGCATTGCATTGTTCTAGAGAGATGGGATCAAAGTCAAGAAGCAAATATAGACAAATACTCCCAACTGAACAGAACAGCTACTTTAGTGACTCAACAGTTATTGAGTTCTCTGCGAGAGGCATGGTTCCAGCTTTTTACATTCTTAAAAGAAAATCAAACCCAGATCAAATGAAGATTATGCATTCAAGTCTTCCTCATGTTCTTGACATCTTCTGTGGAAGAGTATCCAGTGAAGGTCACTATTAAAGAATTTGAAACACACACACACACACAGAACATTCCCAGGGTTTCCTCTCAAATCTCAGCAGAGGCTCACTCTGTTAACATCCCTTTCACTCAGCTCTCCCTCACCCATTCAAGTCCCACATATGGTTTACAAGCTCAGTGCTGAGCATGTGCATCCAGCCAAGAAGATCAAACTTCAGTTCACATTGGTGAGCCACAGCCTGGGACTGCCCACTCACACAGGCATCTGGCTCAGGCAGCAGAACAGCAGGAGGCTGCTGCTCCATGAATCCAGATGTACCTTCTCTGGATACTTGTTCAGATCCCTTATTATGTTTGTGAATTTGTGAACAGCAAAGGATTTCATTCAGTAGATCTCTAAGAATAGATTGCACTGAGGTGCACCCTACGGAGTCCTCCTTGATCAAGCTCATTTAGTCCCTACCTCTGATCATCAGGCTGGGAGCCTCTCTCACATCCATGCATTTGCACTTGAAAATAGTCCTCTTCCTGAATTAGTTTGTAGAGTAATGTTCTCTTCCAAATCACGCCTCGAGGGCTGCACAGTGTGCACAGGAAAACACCCATTATCCATTGGCATTATCCATGTGCCAGGAGCTCGGTTAACAGGTTTGCAGTTTAAACAATGTAGACTCGCTGGTGGTTTGGGTTTATCAACTCTCCTGACTTGTGGAACAGCCTCACATCTTCCTAGAGAAACAGCTCCGGGGATTCATGTTCATAATAAGGATAATTTGGACAGGCCGATAAAAGAGGAATACCTGGAAAAGCAGACTAAGTGTGTTTACCTGGCAGTTGTATTTAGTGTGACAGTGCGATGTCAGCAGGCGTTTTCATTATGAAATGAGGGGCTCCCAGTACCCACAGGACTTCTTGGATGCCCAGAACCAGAAAGATGCTGAAAACTGTACGAACTGATTTATGAGAAAAGGGCCATCGGGAATGCTGGAAACATGACATTAACAGGACATGTCACTGGACTCCCCAGTAAATGCAGACACTAACGCAAGAACATGAATAACGCAGGCACAGAAGGCTGCGAGGGGCGCACCGCTCCCACAGGCAGAGTCAATGTTTAATTTATGCACCACTTAAGTTTAATTCACGCGAGGAGGCGCCAGCGCGGGGTCCCGCGGGGCGGACGGAGGGGCCGCGCTGGGGGCGGCCCGGCCCTGAGGGGGTGGGAGCGCCGCGGCCCCTCCCTCCGTTCCCTCCCTCCGTCCGTCCCTCCGTCCGTCCCTCCCCGCGCTGCCGGAAGGGTCCGTCCGGAAAAGCCGCCGCCCGTGCCCGGGCCCGGCGGTGCTGCCGCTGCCCCGGAGCGCCCGGCGCGGAGCCGCTGCCGTGCCCGCCGAGCGCCGCGGGCCCCTCGAGGGCGCCGGGGCGGGAGAACCGCGGGGCGGAGGGGCCGCGCACCCGGGCCCGCGGCGGCGGCGGCAGCGCCCGGCTGGCGGGGGAGGCAGAACCGCGTTGCACCGCCGCGCCCTCCCTCCCTCCCTCCCTCCCCTTCCCGGCGGAGGCAGCGCCACGTCTCGGGCAGGAGCCGGCGCCGGGCGGGCGGCCCCAGGTCCGCGGGGGTCTGGCCGGGGCGGGGGGCGGCGGGGGCGGCTGGGGGGGCCGGGGCCGGCTGAGGCCCGGGGGCGGTCGGGGCTGGCGGGGAGCGGGAGCCGCCGGTCCGGCTCCGGGCGCTGCGGGCCCCGGGCCTCCCGCTGCCCCCGCCGGGCACTCCCGGGGCGCCCGCTGGGCCGTGACCGAGCCCCGGTGCTCTCTTGGTTTGGGGGCTTTTAAGCAAAATCGGTGGGTTTCGTGCATCTCCCCTCCCGTGAGGTTGGCGTGCCTGCATCTATGTCTGTCTGTCTGTCTGTGCGCAACACAGGGATACAAAAGGACTCTGAAGCCGAAATACTCGAGCTTTTGGTATCGGGAGTGGGATGTTCAGGTGAAAGCTGTTCTCCATCACCCGCTTATTAAAACGTGTTTTATGACAAGGATAACAAACCATCTCGTGCTGGTGGGGTTCTCCCGAGGTGTGAGCAGTTAAAATCTTGGTTGCCTTTTGTCTGTAATTCCTCCTGGTGACCTGTCATGTGGTGTCTATTTGCTCTACAGCAGCAGTCCTTCTAGAAGTTTTATTGTAAGATTTATTATACTGAAAGTCTTTAAAAATCAATAACAAATCGCAGTGAAGGTGTTAAATCTTTTTCTGTTTGTGGAGATTTCTCCTTTGGAAATGCTCTCCAGGTTTCTGGCTCCTTCACAGCTCACCTACATCACCGTGTTCTCCTGTGTGCCCTGAGCTGTTTGCAGCTTCAGTAACGTTTGGGAGATGGTGGTGGTGTTTTGGGTGACCGGGGCAGGGTGGCACAGCAGCAGTTACA